GATTTCCTCTAGCAATTCAGTCATAGAAGTTACATTTTCTTAAACTGTTTGATCACAGTCCCTTCAATAGTGGACTAAGTATTTGTTGGGCTTCTAAAGTCGATATCACTGTCCTGATTTTAGAACTACAAGTAATATTTCTAACAATCCATCTTCCCTTGCCTTCACTAAAATGCTTTGGATGCTCTGTTCATCATTCGTAATCAATTAAATTTGGTTTAAGGTATTTCTGAAATTTTGTATTAGGAACAGTAGATTTGCTTACATTCAACAATTACTCTTTTTCTCTCACATTTTCCACAATTCTAGCAAAGTATTATAAGATTTCTTATGTCAAAAGAAATCACAGAATTTCTTCGGCTTATAAATTAGCTCCTCAACTTAAAGCATCTTTCTATCTAACTTTAAAATCCTTCTTCCAGACATTTTACAGACACAAGATATTTAAACCAATTTATTTAATTTTAATTAACATAATAGATTTTGCATGGAAATTAAACGCAGAAAAAACAATGAAAAAGTAGTTTTGGAACAATAGATGACTGACTTTATTGTTAAAAGCTTGAAAGTTTTCCATGCCTGAATAATTTTTCTTTCAGTCACTGTATCTAGAGTCATAACGTTGTTTGGTTTAAAATCAAGTTCTGTTTAGTGTTGAGTGACTCAATTAGTACAGATGCATTGTGAATATTAAGTACACAACACATATAATTAAATAATAGTTTTGACAACATGAGGGTATGACAGAAAGTTAAGTAAAACAAAATTATACTAGAAAAACCAAAATGATGTATTAAACTTACATATTAATCTGACAAACTAGAAATATCCCAACATGAGAAAAGTTATGGGATGGTTTCCTTCATAAGAAGTAAATGAAGGATTTCTTGGTATTTAATAATACATAATTTTCATCTTGTCATTGCTTACAATTATTTTCTAAGTAACCATTAATTCAGATATGTCAACCCATAATTCTCTATAAAATGAGACAAGTCAGCAGATTGATTATTTTCATTGATGCACTTATGAAATTTAGCATCAACACATGTTAAAGATTTACAGAATATTGGCATTTGTGAAGAATAAAAATATTGTTAATTTATGCTAAGTAATACAAGTATTATTTACAAAAACCAAAATATTTCATTTGAATTAAATTCTGCTCACATTAAATATCACATATTAATTTGAAATGTCAATGATAATGAAAACATTCTTCCCCTTCCCACCAAAAAAAAGTTACGAAAATACATTTTGCACATATTACATTCAGTGTGTACATTTGCACTAAAACAAACTTCCCTCATGTACAAGGAGAATAGCCATAGAATGCTCTGCCCTAATCAAATAAACCAAACCACTCATATGCAATCACATGAGCCTAAAGAAACAGAAAACTATCATTTGAAGATTCATTAAGAGTTAATTTCCATGCAACGTTTACAAAATTATGATGTAAGCTTCAACTCTTTAAATGTACACCAATAACATTAAAGAACCACCAAAGTTTAATGCATTTTTACAGTCCAATCTACAACTAAAAGCTAAAACAGTATGACCATTCGCACATTTTCCAATGAACTCACAGATTGTAATGGCCCGGGGACATATGCTTTGGCTTAGATAAGTGATCAGTCAATTAAAGAAAAAGTACAATTAATATTGTATGGTAAATGCAACCATATTAAAACACTGCTATAAAAATGGAATTTAAAAACTGAGAATTTTCACTAGTTTGTAGAATTTAAACAATTTCTTTCCCAGAAAGCAGCAGCTATTACAATAATGATGATGTTACTTCAAAATGAAATTATTCATGAGGAAATGAAAAGACATATCAACATAGCTTTAATTTGAAGACCAATAACAGCAGAATTTTCTCTTATCAAAAAAGCTATATTTTACTATAAATATTAAGATTCTGAATATTCAATGCTAAGATATTAGAAGCTGATCCTACATCAGAATTGTTACAACTTACCAATAAAAATTAAGAATATATAAATGAAAAATCAATATTCAAAACATAAACAGTTGTTCCTTGAAACTAAAAGTATTGCAGAAATTCAACATGGCAAACATAAAAAAATTATCATAAAAGATAGATAAGGAAAGCTATTAGTGGACAAACATAATTATGTTACATATTCTAGTACCAGTTGTGCATACTTACTTCCAGGAAATTCTGGAATGCATGCCTCAGAGAGAAAGGAGATCCTGTGAACCCCATTTGTGCGAATTTTGTTATATGTGAGATAAAATGCTATAACCCTATATGGCAGCCTGACTCTTACAAAATGAAAACGTTCAGCTACCAAAGTTAGAGAAAATTTTACTGCTACCAGAGACAGGATCGTATATCGGCTGCCAAATCAGCATGATTGACAATGTCAAATTCTGACTAAAGTTGATAAAATAGTGTTTGTAACATTGTGTTATCTGTAAGAATAAAATGGCTTTCAGTTTACTTAAATTTCTTCACAATTTACTACAAGGGAAACGTTTACATTGAATGCAAAATTATTGCAAACCCTCTATAAGACATCCCAGTTTAAGAATCCATCGCTTACTATGAATATCAAAGTCCTTATAGCTTTTTGTTTTTGCCTTCTCTTTGTCTCTCTTATTTTGAATAATAGTGATAATTACTTCATTATACATAATAGATTCTGATTCTGAAAATGCAATAGTCTAGTTTTTACCAGGAGTGAGTTTTGCAATCTAAATGTTAACAGGCTTAGCAAAGCTTCACACTGAAAACAAAAGAATAATTAAGAACTGGAATCTTTTAAAATAAAAGTTTGAAAACCTTAATCTGTAAATAATGCATGACATGTCAGATACTACATTATTAACTGAATGCATAGTTCTAACATGTGAATATAGTAAACCCTTGCTGTGAATGTGAGGGATTACGTCATTAACAGATTGTGTGTACGGCAAAATCACATTCCACAAAGTTATGTGATGAAATGAGTTAGGTATAGCTCAAATTTTTGTACAAATCTAAATATTATTGGAATTAATGGGGAAAATGAAAGAACTGTTAGTTTAAAGGATTTCTATTATTGCTTAATAAGTAACAAATATTTTTTATAAATAACTGGTGATTTTTGTTTGGGATTTTTGCTTGTAAACCTGATCTTGACATATTAAGAAAACAATACAAATCATTTATCACTGGCTTCAGGAATATTCAAAAGTTCAAATGATATTTCTCTTAGATCAAGTTGCATGCATACAATGCATGGATTGTATGCATAAAGCAGACTTCACTGGGCTCATATTTGATAACTATCCAAAAAAAAAAAAAAAAAAAAAAAAAAAAAAAAAAAAAAAAAAAAAGGCTGCACAGATCTTCTAGTTTGTATCCAATCTCTTACGCCTGATTGTTGAAGTCATATAATAAACTGTGAGAAATCCTGCTCTTTGGAAAATACTGGAGAGGAATGGAAATACTGCATTCATGATATTCTATCCTTATTCTTAAATTGCTACAATAAGAGGGAAACTATTATGGAATATATTCAGGGACTGAGATAGACTTTCTCCACCTACAGCTATCTAGTTCACTGAATCAAATAAGCATGCATGAGAACAGTATCCACAAGAAAGCTTTTGCCTGTGGAATGTGATGGTATATTTCATATATCAAAAATTAAATACGCCATTACTTTCCCAAGTGGATTTGAATGAAAAACTCAACTTGGCATTTTATACAAATATTCCTTTAAATTAATTTACATGTACAAATATCATTACATTTTATTATGTAGTTTGAATACTTTAACCATAATAGTTGTCCAGAGTTTAATTCTGGATATCAGTTGGGAAATGTCACCAACTGCTCATGTGTTATAAAATCAAAGAGAAAAATATTCTGTTTGTCAATACTGACAGTAGTAAGAAAATATACAAGACTTTACTACTTACTGAAAAAAATTAAAATATAAATAGTTCCTGATATAAATAAATCAGTTATTTGTGGTCCATTTGAAAGATTAAGTATGAAAGCATGGTAAAAAATATTAAACTAACAGCAAAATTCAAGAAGTGCTATCATTTAATTTTAATAAAAAAGAGAACAAAAAGACCATAAACAAAATCAGAAATTTCAAAGTTAAATACAGAGGGTAATTCAAAACTATCTGACCAAAATTGTAGAAGGGGCCAAAGTAAGCATTTTATAATGGAATGTGTTAGTGGAAATGCCTTACCGAGGTGGTATAGGCCACTTCGGCAGCAGCTAACAGTAATCTGCTGACCTAAATCATCATTCCCCATGCAAATTTTGAGAGGTAAGCATCACGCCATGAAGCTCATCGATATGCATTTTATTTACAGGACTGCTGACAGAAATGGAGCACCTGATAAAAGGAGGTACTTAGGAATCCTTTTCTGAGCCTTATTGAAGTAATTACTCCATTTTAGCCACTGCCTCATAGATAAAATGAAGTTGGTGAGCTTTATTTCGTACAGCAAAGCATACTGCTCATAATTCACTTGGGAAATGATGATTTAATATTAGCAGAACCCATACTTTACAGCTAAACAGTGACCTGCACTACCACAACATGCCATTTCTGCAGACACATTTCATTTCAAAAACTGCTTATTTTGGTCCTCTCTGCCAACCTGTACATTTTTGTTAGATATTTTTAAATCATCCCATATATTAAATTGCATATTACATTACTTTATAACTTGTCATTTGTTCTCCCACTCTCTTTCTCTCGTTCACCCACCCCCACGCACATGAAAATATCATTGATCTACACATTTAAAATAAAAAGCTACATGCTATTACTGTATTTCAAAATGTATAGTCAGGCAGCATTAAATTTCACTATGCAAACATAAATAAAATTTAGGCATATTTTGGCAATACTTCCAATTAATATAAACAAACTTCTGCCTTAAAAAAATTATGATAGTATTTATTTAAGACTTGATACTTTATTTGGGGTAAATCATTATTAAAGGGGGAAAAAGCCTACTTTTTAAGATGTTTCGCTGCTCTAATTCTTCAGCTGTTGGCCTCAAACTAAGTCTCCTATAAAAGATTTCTATATAAAAAAGGCTTTCAATGACATACAAATGTTTTGCACAAAAATTTTAATTTGAAATACTGTATAAGCTTAATTCAGATGACCTGAAATGTAAGACAATTCCCCATTTCTGAAAGTTCTTAACAGGTAAAAAGGAACTTACATAAAAAAAACAGCCTCACTTACATGAATATTTCCTACAGAACAGATATTTAAATGGTATACAACTTCATTAATATGCTTTCTTTGACTTACAATTTATAGCACATGTGACAATATATAATATCAGATTAAGACTAACAATTTCTAGAAGAGCATTTTAAGAGAATTAGTCTTATGTTCAGGCCAATGAGTTAATTTATACATTATCTGGAAAACCTTAAGTAATAACAAACCTAAAAATATTAAACACATAAAAAATTAAAATGTAGAATTTTTTTTTTATAAATATGGAACAATATCAATACATACACAGTATTTCTAAAATTTACCCAGTAAACTTCAAGTAGAACTACCCATAACTTGTGAATCTAACATTTGTTATAAAGGTGAAGACAGCAATGCATTAACAATCAGGGGCATGATATTAATGCATGAGGTCATATTTGCTCCCATAACAAATGAAGAAAAATAGCTGAGACAACTCTCAAAATCATCTTGGTGTTTAAAATTTGAACATTTGGTCATTCGGACCGAGAAATTTCTGTGCAAATGAATGTGTCCCTGATTAACAATAAGCAGCATTATTCTAAAGAAGAAACGGCACAGAATCATTAACTCTATTTGTGAGCCAACAGCCCTAAGAATTCTGTCAAGCCACAACATGCAAAAAAATGCATAATCAGATGAAGCTACCAGATGGCATTAATAGCTATTGCAAATAATTTTTATCTCAGCTCAAGAATAAGGCCAGTGACAGTATTTGTTCCACAGGATATGACTGTACTAAGTTGTCTTGACTGCACAGCTACTCTAAAGCAAATGGTAACACCTGCTAGTCTGTGCTGTTACTTGGAACAGTGCAAACAACACAGCCACTGTGTGTGAAATTATTAAAAAAATTACCTGTGAAGCAATAACTCATGGTACAGTCAAAAGTCGTTAATCCGGACTCGTCAGGACTTCGGCGATTCCGGATTATCGATTTTTCCGGATTATAAATCATCAGTTTAAATCTCGTAAGATGGCATGCAGAAATTCTAAAATTAAAAATATGAAACCGTAATTTATGAAATAAAGAACAATTATGATCTAAAGAGTATCAGAATTTACAAAAAAAAAAAAAAAAAAAAAAAAATATAAATATATATATTTGTTTACTTTATTAAATATTTCTTTCAATGTTAGTTGTTTAAGTTGCTTCGTTTTATGTGATAATACTTCTCTTTTTAATTCTATAAACAGACATAATTTCTTGTTTAGTTACAAAGTTTCGCTGTTCAAGTCCCGTAATTGCTGTGCCGAGAATACCGACTAACTTGTCAATCGAAATTTTTTCGTTTTCACTAACCTTTCTGTCACCTTCTTCATGTCTTTATCCATTTTTTTGCAGTAATTCCACTTTTTGTTTGACGGACATCGAAACATACTTTCGCTTTGTACATCCTTTGGGAGCTCCAGAATCCGGAAATTCTTATTTGACATAATCGAAAGTTCAAGCTTACTTTTATAAAATTGCTCTTACAGTCTGCAAAAAATAATAAGTCGGATCCAATTCGAAGATTAAAGGAACAATGCAATCATGCAACATTAACTGAAATAGATAATTTAGATAATTTTAGCTTATACCGTCCGTTATACATTAAAACGCGCACGCGATAAACGTATTCTGCGAACTTGCGTAACACGCATATGCGCAGTGCGTAAAGGTCTGATCGCGCATGCGTAAAACGCCTATGCGCATGTGTCAATTGCGTTTACGCATGCGCAGAAAGTTTTTAGCTTTGAGGTCCGGATTATAGATCATTCCGGATTATGGGTGTCCGAATTAACGACTTTTGACTGTATAAGATTTGGTATTCCAAAGGAAATATTATGACACAGATAAAGCCACGTGAACAGCATTTGAAAAAAGCAAATTATGCTAATACACTCATATCCATAAATTATGGATAATGCAAAATCAGCCAAAGGAAGAGTTAGAAGCAAAACAAATTTGAATTATTTGTAAAGCTTATTTATTAAACAAAAGGTAAAGAGCAAAAAAGATGCTATATGTTTGATATTATTAAAAAAATTAGCGATTTTTTCTCTCTGGAGCAAATTACAAAAAAAACCTATTTACAAAAAATCAATATTACATGGTTGGTATGATTGTTAATACATTGTATGTCTCCCAGACGATGCAATACAGTCCGTACAATGCCTAGGCATGCTGAGTATCAAATTATCGATCTGATCTTGGGGGATATTACACCACTGAAAAAGCAATGCTCTCCGAAGTTCCGGTAGACATGTAGGAGGAGAATGATGGGCTGCAACTCATTGGCCAAGTATGTTCCACACGTGCTCTACTGGATTCAAGTGCGGTGAGAATGCTGGCCAGTCCATACGGGTGATATCCTCCGATTGAAGGCATTCGCTTACGATGTTTGCACGGTGAGGACGGGCGTTGTCATCCATAAACACAAATTGTGCGCCCATGGCGCCCCGAAACAAACATACATGTTGTTCCAGAATGACGTCCCGATAGATTTGGCTTGTCATGGTTCCAATTTGAACATGCAGGTCAGTTCTGGAACACAGAATAATTCCACCCAAAACAAGCACTCCTGCACCACCTTTACGGTGTCATTCAATGCTGTTTTCTTGGTGGTAATGGGTACCTGGAGCTCTCCATATGAAGTCCGGCAAGAATCAGACTGCAAGCTAAACCTGGACTCGTAGAAAAACATCACACAAGCCCACTATTGCAGTGTCCACAATGCATGCTCTCTACTCCAGGCTAACTGCAGGCGAAAGTGAGTTGCAGTAAGTGGAATGCATCTGACAGGTCCACGAGCATATAGACCAATCTGCCCTAAGCGTCTGTACACGGTCTGCCTTGAAATTGTGGTACTAGTGGCTGAGGAGAGCTGACGAGACAGGTCTGAGGCTGTGCTCCGCCTGTTTCTTTTGGCAGTAACTGCCAAATACCGGTCCTCATTCGCCGTTGTAACACTGGGGCGACCTATGCTGTAATGTCTACTCACATTACCATCATCTTGGAATCGTTGCCAAAGCCTCGAGATGACACTCTGGGCAATTCCAAGTTCGTCTGATACTTCCAGTTGGGTACGCCCAAATTCCAGACAGCCGATAATTCTACCACGTAAAAAATCATCCAAATGCATCCTTTGTTTTATAACTATTCGGTTATTGCACTGAAATGCTTATAAAGCGCCTGCGCACAATTTTACTTCTTTGCCTGTATTCCTTCCACTCTCTTACACTCTCGTCATTGTGACGTACCATGGGTGTCATCTGGTTACTTCCTGAAATTTGCATATGATTCTTGAAGATGTGCGTAGTGATTTTACTTGTGATATATTTATTTTAGAGTAAGATTTCCACATGACTCCGAATTATCCTTAATTTATGGACATGAGTGTAATAAAATCAGAATGCATTGATTTAAGGGTATGGAACAAGACTTTCTGTTTTAGATTTAAGGGAGTAGGTTTTCTTGTTTTTACATAAGAGCACAAATGCTCACAAGAGACATTTCACAGTGTTAAGTTTTGTAGAGATATGAACTAAGATTTTGACAGCCTGATCCAAAGTAATGATCTAAGCCTTCGCTGAACATCAAAAGTATACCTCATGCATTCATCATCTATTCATTATGCTATAAGAAAAATTTAAACAAATTCCTGTAGCTATTTATGAAAACTTATTAAAAGACTATTTCAAAGATCTGGTTATTTAATTTGGTAAAAGTACTTCCAAAGGCTATTTGCCTTATGAGGCACACTTTCATAATGGACTCTCTAACTGCAACTGGCTTGTTTTACATATTGGAACATATTGGAGAAAACCACAGAAGTCCCATGTAGTACATCCATTTATTTAGTGGCCAGAAAGTGAGTGTGTGCCAAAGAACCAATATTTAGATTTCTACTCGGCTACTTATTGGCACACCTCTGCTGACGAATATCAGGTGAAATTGAAAAAAAAAAAAGGGGGGGAATTAGATATATTAAAACCACTCAAGCAGCTTCAGCAAAAACAGGAAGTTATAATCAAGCAATTTTTGCCTATGCAATGCTATCAAGCTTAATCAATTGCACTCATACGTCTACTCTCAACTACCAAAGTTGTTTTACAGTGCCACTCATATGTTTGCTCTTAGCCACCATAACAAAGGACCCTACTGATCGTATATTACATTAAGTCGACAAGCTTCATAATCTTACATTTTATGTATTACTGTTTGCTCAATGAAAATCCATTCCAACATCATGATACCTCACTTAATATAACCACAAAATGTTTAATATTTAAAAGTTGCTAAACTGCACAGAGTATTTCTTTACATGGATACTTAATATCCTGAAATTAGATCTGTCATTAAAAATATATTTATTAATCGCAGACTTTTACAAAAACAATTTACATCTGAAATAGGAAATTCAGGATTAATTTGTTCCTTTGAATAACTGAAGTTATTTTAGAAGACCCAGAAAAAAGATGAATATGATCAAATTTAATAGGAAAAGAAGCCAGCTGCTGTTAAATGTAAAATTAGGCAAAAAAGGCAATGCTATTTTGACATCAATTTTAAGATAAAACTATAACACTTTTGATAATTATTTGAAACAGGTCCCTTTTTTTCAAGAGCAAAAAAAAAAAAAAAAATTAAGGAAAAAAAAAAAAAAAGCATAAGAATTTACAGGAAAACATGAGACAAAAATACATAGTGGCTGATTACTATTGGACCTTACAAATTAGAGAAAAGAACTGTCTAGAAAAGAAGATACAAAATAAAAGAAAATTACACTTTTATAATTCAGTTTGTGTAAAATGCAGATCATTACGCTTAGATAAATTTCCATATTTAAAATGAGTAAATGCATGAAAAGAATGAAATCAGAAACAAATATGCAATGGTATTTAAGTAAAGTCTTTAAGTAAAATTATTATAATTGAAATTTCAAAACTTGTTTTCCTTAAAATCAGTAAGTGAGAGTGAAAAATAACATCACATTTAGAATCAGGAGTGTTAAGTTTAAAAGACACACAGAAAATAGATCAGGAAAGGAAAGAAAGATTTTAAAAGCACAACAGTATTATTCATTAAATCCAAAATTAATAAATAAAACAACATACATAGTAAATTTTTGTGGAACAAAGTTTAAAAAAAACATTACTTATTCATATGACTTCCCTATCACAGCTGATGACACAGCCATGATAATTATAGCACACACAGTTTTACTTTTGTACCTTCACTGCATAAGCAATCCATTTTTCAACATGCTACATGTTTCAGCAAAATAACAGGTAATGCAAGAGCTCCTATTTTGGTATTCACTCCCACCCAATAGTATAATACACAAATGTAGGAAATTGCATTTTCAATAATGAAATGTAGCAACCTTTCTCAGTATCGTTTTTATATTAAGTTTCTTAGCACGGGGATTGCATTACGCACTGGCTCCCAAAAGTTAAGCACACAACGCAAATTAGCAATACAGTACAAAGTCTGTATTCCAGACGTCTATTATCTGGAATGATCTATAATTCGGACCTTAAAGCCACAAACTGTTCTTTTTGTATGCTTTATGCATGTGCATTTAATGTTTACGTATGCACGTTTAGCACAAAAAAACGAAGCAACTTAAACAACTTACATTGAAAGAAATGTTTAATAAAGTAAATAAATATTAAGCTTTCTTTTTGTAAATTTTAATACCCTTTAAATCAATGCTCTTTTTTAAAATTATGGTTCATATTTTTAACTGTATAATTTCTGCATGCGATCTTACCAGATTTAAATTGATGATCTATAATCTGGAAAAACCCTTAATCTGGAATCGTCGAAGTCCAGATTACAGACTTTGCATGTATTTGAAAGCGTAGTTGAAGTTTGAGTGGCTGAAAGTCGCTGCAGATGCAGATGACTATGTAAATATCATATGTTACAGCCTATCACAGCTAACTGTCCAAACATATGCTAATTATTCAGCCATTGCAAAAACCACCATTCTGAAGGGTTTGAGTTTTACTTAAATGTGCATATGGAGTGCTTATAACTTTTGATAATGTTCATATTTCTATGGCTGAAAAATGACAAAGGGCAGACAGTAGTGCCGGCATTTTGTTGGACACAATGAAAGAGGACAGTCAATCAAAGATGTCTTTCTTTCCTTTGGCATTAATCATTTGGTAATTTCTCAAATGTGGAAACAACTGCAAGCAAGTCTAATAGTATTCTAGAGAAGTGTGTCCATCGATCAAGGATTGCCACTCCTGAAGATCAGTATGTTGCTACAGTAGCCATGTGGAACTAACAAGCAACCTCCCCGCCTATTACATCGATGGTTGCAGCATCATTTGGTAAGATATCTGCTAGTACTGTGGGCCAAAGGCTTCACATGAGGCGACTGTATGCCCAGATGCCAAATGTTTGTGTGTCATTAACTGACCAATCCAGAGTGGAAAGATAGAAATGGAATAAATTGGTATTGGCAACATCTCAACTGGACTACCTCCGATAGACACGATGTCTTGTTCATGAGTCCAGTTTTGCCATCAAATCAGATGATAAGTATGCAATCAGAGGTCAAAGCATAATGGTGTGGGCTGGAGTTATTGCTCCCAGTTGCAGATCTTAGAAGACAGTTCTGTGATGGCTGTGCAGTATAGGGATAACGTTCTACACCCTAACGGAGACTTTATGTTGCAACATTTAGTTCTGATTTCCTCTTTATAGATGATAATGTCCATACCCATTCAGAAAACTTGTTTACGAGTATCTGGAGAGTGAGACCGTTTCATATATGGAGTGACTGCCATATTCTTCAGACCATAATCCTTACTGAAAATCTTGCCCTTGGGCAAGCTCCCTCTGAATGTTTACCTTTTCCAGCCAGTCCCAGAGAATTGGAGACTGACTTAATTGTATAATTGGATTAGTGGCCATTGCAATGGCTGATCACCTAAATTGAAGCATGAGTAATCACTATAAAGTTTGTGTGAAGGTCTAGGGTGGTCACAAACCTTAAGAATGTAAGTTTCGTTGTTTGTTTTCAGCTTTAAACACAAATTTGTTATTGATCAAAATGTGGCATCGTCATATGATTTTCGAAAATAAAATATTTTCATCTCTGTATATAATGCTTAATTTTTTTATGCATCAACACATTTGCTACCTTTATGTGCAATGTGACGTAAATCAAAGCTTTTTTTTTTTTTCATTTTTATTGGTTTTACCATTGTATGATTAACTTTTGAAAGCTGATGTATTTCACTGTTCTAAATGAGATGTAACTACCCAAATAATTTCAAAAGTAGTTTTCAGAATGTTTGCATATATGAAAAGTTTATGAAGGATTTCCCCCCCCCAGACGTTTAACTTTCTCAGACTCTGAATTTGGAAAAGAAAAATTGACACTCTCACACTTTTTAATCTTAATTGCTTTATCCAACTGTTCACAGATTTTTTTTCCTCTGTTATATATGAAGAATTTTACAAAAAAAAAAAAAAAAAATGTGTCTAATCAAAATGCAGAGACATTTAAAGAAAAGCAAAAATAATTAATTGAACTATCACTGTTAACAAAAGCTGTTTTTGTCAAGACATGACGGACAGCATGCCACTCTTGAAACAGTGGCTTGGCTTTGATGCTAATGATAAATCAGTAAATTCAGAGTAAAATGGAGAATAAAATAGCACAGCAAAGTTAAAAAAAATGGAAGCATTATTAATTTGACTATTTAAACACACAAAATAATCACATTCCTGTATTTGAAAATTGCTTCAAAATAATCCATGCAAACAAAAGTTGATGACACAGCAATTCTCTAAGTAAAGTAAAAATTGTACATAAGAAATAAAATGTTTTTCCCCCTAAATTAAATTTTGATCTTGAGAAAATTTTAAAGATTAACAAAAACATGCATACATTTTAAGTTTGATTTGAATTCACTTTTTATTCAATCCTAAGAGTGCTGTACTATAAAGAACTGACTTAAAGTAGAAACTATATTATGCTGTAAATCAATCTGAATGTAAATCTGTAATATAAGAGGATCATGCATTTTGGCTCCTATATACCTGATGAGTTGATTTCCAACTGCTTCCCAGACTTCTTGACGTTCTTGTTCACTTTGTAAGTGAATAATGTTTTTATTAATAAGATCTTGCCGTTCTGGGCGCTGTGCAAGCTTCATTGCTAAATAATCCTTGCGGGCAATTTTTGCAACCAATTTACCTAAGAAATATACAATTGAATGTTTTAAAAATCATGATGTTAAAAATATACATGAATCATTTCAAAAAGGGGATCTAAAAAAAAAAAAGACTATTTTAGTAATACTTCAAAAAATTCTTTATAAGTAGAAAGATTTTTTTAATATATTAAATATATAGAAAACCATTCATATTTCAGAAGCATACTTGCCAACCTATGACACTCAAAAATCAGGAGATTTTTTTAAGAAATCAGGAGATTTTTCACAATGTTAAAAAGACTTTTTAAATGATAAAAATATAGTTTTTAATAATGAATTAACTTTAAATAGTTACTAAGTCTTAAATGCAAGCAAAACAAAAATACCTTAGACATAAAAAACATTTTTATTACTTTCATCGTTTAAAAAAAATAAATAAATAAAATTAAAAAAAAGGCACTTTAATCAGTTTTCATACAAATGTTATGGACAGTGGCAGATTTTGCTCTCGTTAAGAAAGAAACTTCATAATTTTGTTCATAGCAATTGTCACGTAGGCCTGCTTTCACTAATAAAAGTTTTTCTAATGTGTCATCACTAATATTAGATCTAAGTTTAGTTCTCGTTTTCGCAACAGCACTGAAAATCCTCTCACACTCCGCATTACTATGGGGAACTGTCAAGATGGCCAACATAATTCTAGAGAGTTCACTATATTTTAAAATTCCATCAGCACCTTTCAATTTTCCAATTAACCTCCACTGGGTGTCAATCCTAGCTGATTTTATAACTTCATCCAAGTTTTCTAATTGTAAACTGCAAAATTGAGACTGAAGTATATCAAAGTATATCAGTAGCAACATCAATATCATCATCTTTCATGACTAAACAAAGTAACACAGGAAATCTGTTCAAAAAGTACCTTATATCAGAAAAAGATGCATTTGCTAGAGCAGAAATATCAGCAACTTTAGCATGCAAAATCACTTCATCGTTGACTGGAAATTTATGTAGTGTGTAATCACATACTCGACAGAAGTAACTTCTAACATGAAGATAAAACTTACTTTGTTGTTCTTCTGGAAGTTCTTCCACTACTTTTGTAGTTGCAGCTCTATTACCAAATCTTCATCTTCTTATGATCTGTTTACCATAAATCACATCATATATAGAATTACAAGACAAAACACAGACTGGTTTTACAAAACTTTGATAAAATGTCTTTACACAGATCATAAATCATTGATTGCAAAACATGAATTAATGGAATTCTGCTTGTAGAATTGTGTTCAGAACATCGAATGCTGGCAAAATGAATTGTAAAAAAAAGCAAAAAGCTTTGTTTAAGGTCCGAAGAAAAAAAAAATAAATATTCGTTCTTCACAAGATAAACTTACAGTAATGGAAAATGTTTGTGTGTTGAGCAATTTTTTTTTTTTTTTTTTTTTTTTATTTTTATTTGAAAGAAATTTGTATCAGCTTTATGCTTATATTTTGCAGTATTATTTTGAGAACTGCCAGTTGAATTGCTGAATGATGCAGAAATTACTTTATTTTTCTCAAACCCATTTTTAACAATGGAAGTAGTAACTACATCTTCATTTACTTTAGGTACTTATAACTTCCAATAGAGCCTTTTATCTTAACTCTCGAAGCATTTACTTCTTCTTTAAAAAATGCAAGAAGTGGGTTCCATTGATCGAGGATTCTAGATAAGCATTTCTTTAAAGACAACCAGCGTGTACAACATGTTTCAAAATTTTCTCATTTCAGTATTATGCAGCTGTTGGAACTGTTTCAATTTTTCCTTTCTTTAGAACTCCTTTCAAGATAATAATAAATATCAACAATGTGTTCATCCACATTTAATGGTAAAGAAGCTGCCCTTTTTTTCAGCTGCTAAATTTAAGAGGTGACAGGTGCACCTCATAATCTGCAAATCTGAATTTGCCTTTCTTAAGATGCCTGCAACACCAGTCATCAAGCCTACCATTACTGGTGCATTATCGGCACCAAGTGCTAAGCAATTATTGAGAGGGACTGCATTTTCTTTTAAATTTTAATAATTAGCTGTGCTATATTAAAAGCCTGTCAAATGTCATTCTAAAGTGGGGACAGAAAGTAAACTGCACTCAATTCTCTCTGGATTAAAAAAAGAAACAACAATTGGATACAGTTTTGAATTGGTATTATTGCTTCCATCCGTAGAGAGGCAGAACGGAGCTGTTTTAATGCAATCAATAACTGAAGATTTATTTTTCAAACCCATTTCTTTAACAATGCACCCGTTTTTGTCCTTGCACTTGAGTATTTCTTAGCGATTTCACTATCGGGAAACATTTTTCTAAATAAAGCTGCCAGCGTGATCCGATGCATTCAGTGGCAGGTTTGTTGCTCCAGTAAAAAGGCAGAGAACAGAATTCTGCATTAATCACTTTTTGGTCTTTTGTTTCCGAAGAAAAATTTAATTTTTCGTTTTTTCAAAACAACTCATGTTGTCCTTGTGTCTATGTGTAAGCACATGTTTGAGAACACCTGCCCTTCCACCAAGCGAAATCGAAAAATCGCAACGACAGATGGTACCGCAAATTTATTACATCAGGGTTGCCACTCAAACAGGAGAATGAAATTCCCTGACTTTTCCAGGTTTTCCAGGTGTGTTTCAAGAAAATTCCAGTCTATCCGCTTAATGTACATTGGCTGTGCTAAGAGGTAAATTAATTATGGTATTACTTGTATTGTGTAGCAAATTCACTTAATTATTCAATAAATCCCAGAGGACATTTATTATTAATTATTCTTGGTATACTTTGTTTGATAATTTTGTTTACTTTTCCACTTAAGAAACTTAATAAAATTTAAGATATATACATTGGATAACAAATGTATGTTTATTTAATTATTACTCATGATCATCACCAGTTTCAACACGAGGCTAATCCGGTCCTATAATCACAACGCAATGCTAAATAGTTAGGTTAGATTTAGGTAAATTTAATTTGCGTGAGGTATGTTCTTAAAAGGCACCTTAACACTTGAAAACACAAATATAATTATAATAGTTGTTGTTTCTCCACTGAAGATTGAGATTAGAATCTTCCCAATCTGGAATAAAATAGGCTTTTTTGCACACATTCTGCAGCTAAACGAAAGAAAAGAAATCTATTTAATAAATTGAGGATTTTATATTTATTTCACAGCATACATAAGGAAAAAAATATGTGCATTAAATTTCGTGATGGTATGTCATCATACTGCTATAATTAATTTCAGGATTATGCCAGAGAAAATTTCCTGAAATTTGGAAATATTATTACTAATAATAAATGAATTTAGAGGGAAGAAGCAACATTAAATTATATGAATAACATAAAAATAATTACTTAAAAATTGAATTAGAATAATCAACGATATTTTAGCGAATATAGTTATTACATGGCTTTAGCCTAGATGACTGATTACTATTTTTTTTTTATTTTACTGCAACATGGCAAGGTATTTATAAAAAAAAAAAAAAAAGTTTAAAAAGATTTGCGGTAAAATTCTAGTATACGGTAAGGCTTTGGCACGATTTTGAAAATTGTCGCCAAGACCAAAATGACCCGTTTACTGCGCATCAACATGTCGCCAAATCCCATTATTATTCTAACCAAAGAACGTCTATGTAAAGAAGAAAAGGTTCCATACAAGTAAAATGCTATTACGCTGCTAGAAGGCGGAGGGAAAATTTGCCAAGAGATTTGGCGACGGAACCTGGCGGCCAGAATTTCCCTCTTCGCGATGTGTACAGGAAATTGAGAAACACGTGTTAAGAAGAAACGCTCTTTGACAAAAAGAAAACTACGAAAATCCGTTTTTAAATTATTGCGAAAAATAAAACGTTTCTTCTTGGATTTTTCGCAATAATTTTAAAAACGGATTTTCGTAGTTTTTTCCCCCCTGAAAATAACTAATCCATGAATTAATTTACTTGCGCCAAAAAATATTTTCTTTTCCTTTAGAGTTTAACCACTTGCGCTAAGACTAAACTTCACGGTTGCAGTGCCAATATAACAAGCGGTAAAGTGTCTCATTTACGCCGCTCCGCATCTGCGAGTGCGATCCAGAGCTGTAACTCGAGAAATAAACAATCTCGTTGTTAGGTGACGTGTGCACCACGTTATTTTCATTTTTGCGATAAATGCTTATCAACGTGGTGTTCACGTCGCTCGCGGTTTGAGACGAAAGCATTTTGACGTGCGTGGCACGTCTTTTTAGCGCAAGTGGTTAGAGAAATTTTAAACGATATTCATTTTATGAACTCTTGATAACGTGACCTTCGAACTTCGACACCGGTTTCGAGCTTCGGCGACAGATATATCAGACATGCATAGCTGTTTCCCTCTATGATGGAACGGAGCCACAGCCACGTCTGTTGCAGAGAGGTTTTTCCTTCTTTACAATACATATTCTTTGATTCTAACCTCCATGATACCGTATACTAGGATTAAACCCATTTTGTTTTATACGAGAACAGGTACTTTCTTTAGTTCATGCACTGCACATGCGATTCTCGGGAATACTGGAAACAGAAAGTTGCTTTGCCTTTCTAAAAGACAATCAAATTGGAGCTGCAAAAATTGGCTCTATGCCAGCTACCCAAATGACACTCACGTGATACATAATTCGCCAAAAAAGTTACCTCTACCGACATCAGCGCAAAAATCGCTTTTTTTGGCGGGATCGTTGTATGAACTTCCCTGACTTTTCCAGATTTTGACAAAAATACTTAAATTCCCTGACTTTTCCCTGAATATTTTGGTCAATTTTCGAATTCCCTGACTTTTCCCCGGTTTTCCAGGTAGCGTGGCAACCTGTTACATTTCCTTGAAGAAATAATGGAAGGAAAGTCAACTGTGTACGATTTTTGAAACGTGCACGAGTATTTCACCTTTCTCGCAGACATAATCAAAAGATGATAATTTCTAAAACTATTTCCTAAAGGCACGTATACTCACACAACTCAGGACAAAATGAACGAAATAGCGAAAGAACATCCAAA